TTATTTCAAGACCGGTCTAGATGCTGGTCTAGATGGGAAAATCTAGACCGCTTTCAATATTGATTTCAGCCAATCAAATTCGTGAATTCGGTAGTTCCCAGTCCTTGTGAGACACAGCCATATAATAATGACCCTTTACACCCCAACATCAGTTAAGAGTTTAATCTCCATACTGTTCTATATACAATTCCGATGGCACTGAAAAGAGAATGTTAGTTAAAAGACAATAGCAATTTCAGTTGGCGATCATTTCCATAATTCTGAGTCTAACGTTTAATTCAGCAGCGAAGCTCAAGTGAGAGATAAGAATTTTTTTTCCGAGTTGAGATTGGTTACTGGCCGTGGTATCTGAACGTATATAACATGGGCCTCCGCTTGCGACATTTTGGGTGTTTAACCAAAATAACTATTCCGCTTGTTCCTGTTGGATATTTTAAAGTATACAATATTCAAGCAACGTTACTCTTCGTTATTTATCTTTTTTTTTCTACCGCACACTTTTGAGATAATTGTATGCATTTGACTCACGTTAAAGTTGTCGTCGATAAGGAAATCGAAGCCTAACAAGTCAAACGTTCCCGCTCTCTTGTGAAGTTTCTGACGAACACTGTGGAAACACGTCGTCATGATCTGATGCATGCGTTTCTAAGTAGAGAAAAGAAAGGTGAAATAAGAGTTGTAACAAAGAAAATGGCCTGCCGTTTGAGGAAGCCATTCAGCCGGCTGAGTCCAGTCGTTTGCAACATCTTGTCTGCGGGAATGCCAAGCTTTGAGTTCCGAAACAGAGAGACATTATAGAACACTTAACAGCAGTGACTTAAACTGTAAAAAATCGAGACTCGTCTGTCGAGCGATTACCAGCGATTGCCTCTTTCTTAGTGGGCGAATTTCGCCAGCTGCCGGCGCTTAGCGACAACCCTTTGAAAGAGAGCAGAGAGATTGTCACAATAAATACAGCTGTGCAAAACTTTCACTTGCGGCTACAGACTGACTGAACGTAAAGCAAAATCTAGTCCAATTAAAGGACATTGAAATTCACAGTATCAGTAAAATCCACTCACCGTGAATGTGGTGTAAACCCAATTCTCAGGAAGTTCTTTCTCCTTGGAATATTTCTCGTCGATGTAAGATTGCAAACGTTCGAAACTCCAAACAGTGTCTTCTTTCATAGATGAATACAGAGGATGTTTCTTTTGAACGTACTTTATGAAAGACAAAAATAGGAAAACATTTTTTAATTTATACCCCAGTTAACTTCATTCGTGCTTTACTCTTGTAAGAGTTACTAGTGAGCTAGTTCTAACCTAAAAAACCCTGACCTGATTGGTAAGGTGAGCATGCAGTCCAGCGGCATCCGGAGTGTAGGGTGTATACGGGACACACGAGAGTCGCACATATCCCGGATGATAGAAAACGATGAAAGGAGTGGTGCTAGCAATCAACATGTACGTACGAATGTCAAATTTACAGCCGTTCAGTAGAAGAGGGTTCATCACATATCTGCAACATAAAAAGAGATTTCATTGACTTACATGGCTTTACAATCACGTGAAAACCGCTTTAAATCGCCTGTCACTGTTGTGCATGTTCAATTCCTGATGTTTAGCTTCGCGTGAGTAAACGTCATGGTGGATTTTAAGACGCCCCCCCGTATGATTTACAAGGAATGGTTTTGGTGCCATTCTCTACTCTGTGAAAAAGTAAAGAAAATCTAAGCTACATGGCAAACGCGAAAAAATGGCGGGAAAAACAAGGTCACGTGGTCCCTCTTGCTTTTCACGTTTCTCGTAAACGCGTTGCTATGTCTCTCTATTCGTTTTCCTACGCTTGCCAAGACTTACTCATTTTCTATTCTTTGGCAAAGGTTACTTGTTTTACAGCGCCGGGAAATAGCTACTCATTCTAGACGCCTGGTAAAAGATACTCATTAAACCGAGCTTTTCCCGTGCTTTACAAGGGTGACTATGAAAAGAAATCCCTCATTTTACGCAAAGTCGACATAGAAGAGTACCTTTGTATAACGCGTCCTTGCGGGGGCCTCACCAAACTCCGTCTGGCGCTTACATTATCACCTCCGTTCATGTTGAGTTTTTCGATCAGCTGCTCTTTGCTATTAACGAGATAAATTCCTTTTCCTTGATTCATACCCGTCGGTTTGCAGATCCAAATTTCGCCATCTGTACAAAAAAAAAAAAAAAGTGCTGTACGCGTTACAAGTATGCTGGTTATGCTATTTCAAGTTGTTTTCTTTTGGCGTGCTTTGGAGCAATTTTCGATGGGGATTTGAAAGAAATCCAGGTTTGCTAGATATTTTGCGTCACCATGCTCTGTAACTGGCCTAGAAAACGCGTCTAGGTGTCTCGACCAATCATATTTAACACTAAAGCCAACCGCGCCTTGGCCAATCGCGTTTTCCCGCGCTTTAGCCGGTTTAAGGTATTTGCTGAGAATTCTTACTGAATCCTTGTTATGTCAACGTTTTCTCTGATTGGCCGAAGTGGTTACTTTAATTTTGGTTTCTCGAAATTCAGTTTACGAGTCCTACATTAGAGAAAGCTTTTTCTAACGAGTATGACACAAGAAAAACTACAAATCATGCAACAGATAAAACTAAGCCACCACATATCTAAGTGACTATTTACATATGATCCAAAAAAAAAAATTTGGAGACGTTTTTACTGACCTTTGTAGACTTCATTCACAAACTTGGCTTTCTCTGTTGCGTTCATCAGTTTGTGAGTTTCCGGGACAAACTCGCTCATAGGAAATTTTAGCCTGCACACAAATAGTCAATGTAGAGAAACTTCTACTCAGCAAGTTATTTTGGCAACAAATTTTGGTAATCTTTTCATGTCCCTTCTTGTGCAAGGCCATGTTAATACCACAAACGTTTTGAAAACAATCCCTGTTACCCTTGATGGCCACAAACTCTCATTTCATTGAATGACTATCGTATATTTATTTTTTCTCTTCGGAGTACGTGTGCATTCAAAGACAACGAATGTCGTACCGTGTAACCCCGTTAATAAGGTCACCAAAGATCCCAAAGAAATTAAACGGGGTGGCCGTTTCACCGGGGTAGGATGAAAGGTCCGTAGTGCTAACTATCGTATTTGCACTTTCTAAACAACTGTTCTATTTAACAAAAACCCAGAATGAAGATATTTACATGTACGTAAAGTAACTCGGCTGCTTGATTGGTAAATGACAGAGATCAATGAAAATGACATATGGCAGATGTTTTGGTTCTCTAAATTTAGCGCCAGTTGCTGTCTTAATGGGGTAAAATTATAAAGGATTGTCCTGCTTGGGATTTTAAAATGTGGCCGTTGGCGCTATTAGCAGCTGATCACAATTACAAGGGGATTTTAATAAGAACATGTATGGCCACTTCATCGCGTCAAAAGAAGTGGTCATAATAGCGAGTTGACCATATTACCGAGGTGGCCGTCAGGATGGGTTCCAGAGAAAGAACAAATTGGTTAATTTCACAGCCTGCAGTGCAGGTGTCTTATCAGGGCGAGTTAAAGAAGCGCGCGATTGTTTATTGAAACGGTCATTTCTAATTTGGAGTTAAAGTTGACTTTAGGGGGAGGGGACGGGGAGGAATGTAATATTCACTTCCCCACCCCTACCCATTCGTTATATTTTTATTGTCACCCCCTTGGTACAAATTTCCCTCTCTCTCCAGCCTTCCGTTTCCATTCCAATTTTCGCTGAGAAAAAACCGAGCATTCGCTAGCCTAAATTATGCCTGCTCTACAGGCTACTATTTTCAGACTGAAAAGTTATTTTCTTACTTGTTCTTGGCCATTTTCTCTTGCACCCGTTGATATTCCTCTAAGCTACACAGGAGACCCAGCTTTGTTGTCAACAAGTTGATGTTGGAAATGTGATTAGCCAAGTGTTCACCTAAAATAACAGAAATGAAAAACAGAAATTAGGCCAATAGCCATGAAAGTAAAAATCTGCTTTTGTCGCATTTCTGAAT